GTAGAACGCAGAAGTCTGAATGGTTGTGATGATGTGTATTGCTTGACGGAGCAGCTGAACGGCGACATGTCGGTGCACTGCTCCAGTACCCAACTCAACGGACAGCCAGCAGCTACTCATCCAGCCTCAGGCTCACAGGTATGTACAGGTCATAGGCAGACTCGATAAAAACCCGATTAAAAAAAAAAAAAAAAATCCTGATTTTTTTCCCAATTTAATTTTTTTTGTTAATATTTTTTTTTTACCTGATTTTTTTCTTCTTCCCTATTTTATCCTGATTTTCCTGATTCCCCCTTATTTTCTATATTCTTCCCAATTTTGCCCTATTTTCCCCCAAATTTTCTTACTCAAAAGGGGGGAATGTTGTTAGATGCCATTTTTTTCCCTGTGAATCCTCTTCTTTTTTTTTTTTACTCAAGGGGGGCGTGGTTGAGGGGAAAACAAACATTTTTTTTTTAGTGCCCACTATCTCCCCTGCATAGGTCATTCAACCACCATTTTCGCAATGTAACGAAGTTTAAAGGGGGTGTAGCATGATGAGACTACGTGTCTTTCCAGTGGCCCGACTCTGGGCAAATCAGGTACATAATACAACTACTGATGACGCAACCGCAGTATTCGGTCTGTTTTGTAGATAGCGTTAACCAGTATTTGCCATGCTACACCCCTTTTAATACAAAAGTATTTGTAAAGTGCCTCGATACAAATTGTTTCATTCACCTGATAAGAATACTAGTATTTCAATAGTCAGAATGCAAACTGCATCTATTAAGTGTTGCTAGGTAGGGCAAGCCATAATATTTTTTAAAATTTCATTCTCTTTTTAATCAATATGTTTTGGCCGACCACGCGGCTGGATGATTGAGAAGCCTCGTCATAGACAAATATTTTCTCTTTTCCCACATACTTACTTTTATGTTACCAATACTGGTAGACCTCTATTAACCTTTCCTGTAGTAGATATTTTAATGTTGTCCCACATACTAATTTTTGTGTTTGCTCTTTGCCCGTTTTTAGGAGACCCCTACCGGCCCCAACGTGGCGCATCGTGAGCCTATCTTGCAGCAGCAAGCAGAGGAGATGGCAGCGATGCAGAGTCGTATCCCTCACACCTTCAGGGATGCGACCCACGCCCCCCTTAGGAAGCTGAGCATCGACCTTATCAAGACCTACAAACACATCAACGAGGTCAGCAATCTAATTAATTAATGATTCATCATTAGAAAAGGGACATTTCCATAACTTTTTTAAGTGTTTAAGTACTACGTATTAGCCAAATAGATAAGTGAAGAAAAAATGAAAATATATCTGGCAAGACATTATTCTACATTTGCCACTCTCCACCCGGGTGTTAAATGGGTACCCGGTAGGATGCAAAAAGTTATGTAGTTTGCTCAGCATTGTGAGTGTCTGTAAAATGACGCCTGACTAGAATGCTCCCCAGGGAGTGGAGAATGTGCATACATTGTGTGCGGGCAAGCATGAATCCGATGACCGGGGTAATAATTCTGTAGAGTGCTTAGAGACATCGCTGATGTATAAAGCGCTATATAAAAGCAGATTATTTGTTATAGATAAATGAAAACAAGTACTTTCCTTTACAAAGCTTTACCAGATAGAAACTGTTCCCTTTTTTATACAAAAGTGCATAAACCTGTATCTTGGACTTGTTTGTCGTTGGGATGTTTAATTGGTTTTCGCTAAATCTATTTGTGTTCTTCCTCTTCTCGAAGTTCGATAAATTACAGTTTACTTGTATTTTTATACTCCTTGTAATTGAGGAAACTGCCTTGAAATAGTTTGTCTTAATTGCTATGCTTTTATTTGTGAAACTTCCGCATCATCCTACCAAGTAGATGAATGAGGAAAAAAAAAAAATTGTTTACATTGGTGCTATGACACAATATCCCAATTCTTTTTCAAAAGTGCCTTTATCAAACTGTAAATAATTATTCATTAAAATTGAAGTGATATATGATAGTATAGTTTATGAAAGAAAAGGGGGAAAATCTGATACAGTTATCCTGTCTATAAAGACCACCCAAGGGAGACAAGAAAAGTGGTCTTTATATGCAGAGTGTCTTTGTAGACAGGTTCCTTTAGTACATGTTTCAATGAGAAACCATTTTCGAGGGAAACAAAAAATGTGGTCTTTGTAGACAGGTGGTCACTATAGCAGGTTTGACTGTATTATTGTTTTTGTGATTGAGGTATTACTACCATTCAAACACCAAAAACCATTGAAATGTTTCCCCATTGCTTCACAGGTATACTATGCCAAGAAAAAGAGGAGAGCGTTACCAGCGCAAGGGGACGACACGAGTCACAAGAAGGAAAAACGCCTCTACAACGACGGTTACGACGACGACAACTACGACTACATCATCAAGAACGGTGAGAAGTGGAACGACCGCTACGAGATCGACTCTCTCATCGGCAAAGGCTCATTTGGACAGGTAAGGATTTCTCTGTCAAAATTGACACTCCTTGCGCAGTGGTGAGAAAATTGTATAATTGTGGGCATACATACACATTTAAAGTAATTCAAGAAAGAAAGCAAAATACACATAAGTTAAACATACTTCAGGACATAGTTTTGCAATAATACAATTAAAACATCATTGCACATGGGTGTATGAAAGATTGCCTGTTCGATTGTAAGGTTGGTCGAAGCTTAAACCACCAGCTGCTCTGGTCATGACTAACCTCTGCATCAAACTTTCAATTCCTCGTTTCTTTAGAGTTATGAGACAAAGACAAGACCAATCCACAGAAAGGTTTCAAGGAGCTTTAGGCCCGTTTTCATCAGCTCGAGTTTGCCAAATATCCCACTATTTTAAGTACGGTAGCCCGATCTCAAATTAGCCAGTGAATTGGCGTCTGCATCAGCCGGCAGTTGCAATTAGCAGGATATTTGGTTGGGAAAATATCCAGACAAATCTCCCGGTATTTGCGCCCGTCCGAGCTAGTTTGTGATGAGCGTATCAGTCTAGTGAAGACACAATTTCGAGCTTCGGTATAATATCCCAAGTCTGAAAATAGGGAGTTATTTGGCAAACTTGAGCTGATGAGGTCATGCCTATTGTGTCAAGCCACTGGTATGGTGATCACTATAAGAGGATTAAGCTTATCCCTTTATCCTAAGGATTAGTGATGATCCTTCATGCTCTGGTAGCATTGTTCTTCAGTCTACCAAAATGGTTCTTTGGCTCTTAGCTCTTGAAGGGCTTGTATGATAATAGGACTGAGAGCCACACTTCAAATAGTACCGGTATCTGAGGGACTGGGCTACTGTTAGACAAATGGTTCAGAAGTTAACTGGCCTTGTATACAGTCTTTCAGCTCAGACCCTATATCAATCTTTGCAGCCCCAAAAAGCGTCTTCCCAAGATATACGATGTGATGAAATAAAAAGCTATAATAGGCCATTTTCGTAATTTAACAAAATTTATGCAAGTTATTTAATTCACCTGTTACAAATAATTGTATTGTAAAAGTCAGAATGCAAATTGCATATTAGTTGTTAGGTAGAGCTATTAGCATAACGTTGGTTACATTATAAAAATGGCCAACTGTTTTGAATTCCTTGTCAGGTCTCTAGATCTAAAGATTCAAGTAAAAAAAAAAATGGACTAATTTTATTTCTGTCTAGGCCTAGTTGACCTGATATTTGCTTTAGTAACATGATCCAGGCTGTATTTTTTCAAAGTGGCAGGGCTAGGGCTTATGCTACAATAGAGTTTTAGATTAAGGTTTAGGGTAGGTATGGTGTTTGGTTTAGGTCCAAGTTAGGACTAGACACTAACAGTTGCACATCAGTGCTCAAAATTTAGATTAGGACCCCAAAATATATCAGTTTAGAGCTCTTGCGTACAGACTTTCAAAAAAGTATGATCCAGACTCAGTTCCAAACAAAGATAGTATGGAGCGCTTGGTTAGTTTTTGAGAATCAATGATAAGAGTACATTTCATCGGAGCGTGGATCCTACTACCCAACGAGCATCACGATTACCATCTGAAATGTCAGAATCATTATCATAAGCCTTTTATGTGACAGTCTGTTAAGCTCCAACCATGTAGTAAGTAGAAGAAAAGACTTTCAAGAACTACAAACCAAGCATCATCTTCCTAATACCATAACAGCTACGTGTACCCGCGGCAGGTGTGGGCTACGGGACGGTTCCATGAAAGCGTTAGGATTTGAGGATTATGCAGCCCCTGCTTATCCACTTTCGAACTACTTAAGCTAATCCGTAGATTGAGGAAGATGAAGTAATATTGTAAACACAAAGTATCTTGTGTATGAATAATTACGAGAGGATTTATTATATTGGTTTCTTGATTACAGACTGCGAAAGAAAAATAATATATCAAGTTATCAACTAAAGCTGAACTTGTCATGCAGACCTACATTTTGGTTTCCTTCTTTTTGGTAATAGAATGAGAATGCTTTTTTCCTAACAAGAAAGGGAGATATTCTTTTGAGAAAAAAGATAATTGAAAAACATGAGAACTCCTTATGCTCAAGGCCAAATGAATTTCTGGACATTTTTCTCACTTTCGAATGTTCGATTTAAGAGGCAGTCCATCCTTATTACAAGTCATATATTGCCAATTTGTGAAAGCAATCTCATTTATTATCAGATTTTCCTTATACCGGTACTTTCACTTTCTTTCAGTAAAAAAAACTTCATATCATTGCGTTATCTTTCTATCATTACTGTGCTATTTGCAATGTATAAGATATCAAATCAATGAGTTCTGAAAGAAAACTTTAAATTGCAATACTTGGAACCCAGTCTGCATATATATATATATATTACTTGTTGCTATGTCGGGCAAGCTTTAGGGTTGACAAGAACAAACTTTCTTTAAACAGTATGCATATAAATTGAATACGGGAGTAGACCAGTCTATTGCCATAAGCTTCTTGGGAAAAGCATGCTACCTGAACAGCTTGTCATTGTAAGGACAATTCCTTCTCCTGTTAATCCTTTAACCCCCACAGTGTACTCACCTACATCACAAATAGCCTAGGGTATCAGGTACCAGGATTAGAAGGCTTAATCTCTCAATGAATACCAGTCAAACAGGACGAGAAAGTGAATAATTCCTTTTGAAAGTGCTCCATCAATCCCTAAGTCCATTCTTGGTGCGGTTCCAAAGCACAGGGGTAGCCTGGTTTATTCTTGTGGCTATGTTTTACAAGAAAGTGCTACTGCAGCCCCACCTATAGATTTATTTGTCGAGGGGGTGCATACTCTACCACCTCCAGTTGTGCGATGCCCTTCCGTGGGTGTGAGAGGTCGCAACAGGTCCAGACAAGTTCCAACTTGAATTCCAGTCTCCGAGCTCGTGTCTATGGAATGCTATAAAGAGCAGGGAAAGCCACTGAAAGGCCACATTCTTTTCAAGTTGTGGTGTATACGCAAGCTTGATAGAATAAACTACCTCAATATCTTGCCTGCCTTGGAATTATATTGGAAATGTATACCTCAAGCCCTCAGATAGTTGGATCTGTATGATTATTTTACTTTGGAAAGATTGAGCTGCATGTACATGTACCTACCCCTGGACTGTGGAACATACAAATCTTTGAAAACCATGTGTAAACCCACCGAGTCAAAAGCGTGCATGTATGCATACTTGCCTAATTGGCGGATAATGTTCAATGAATGTAGCGCCCTCTGTTGGTGAAGGAACTCCTGAAGTCTCCCGATGACATTGAATCCTTCATTCTGACCTGACTGATCTTACAAAGCGGATATTAGAGGAAATCATTGTATACCTCCCAAATCAACACAAGTGCATATATGCACATCCGTCTGATGGTCTGAATCCTGCATACACTATTAAAGCGCCCTCTATGTTGAAGAGAGTCCTTTCGAAAGACAAACAAAGTCACGGACCTGACCATGAGAGGGGATTTTGACTATGACCTGTCCTCTGAACTATGGGGAGAGGATTTGATAAGTAGCTCCAAAAATTGTCGTAACCTCTACGAGGAGGGTGTCCTGTGGAGGTACCAGATCATCAAGGTGGTCGGAAGCGGGGCTCATGGAAAGGTACAGTCAACACCTGTCTACAAAGACCACCTGTCTATAAAGACCACATGTCTATAAAGACCACATGTTTTGTTTCCCTTGAAAATGGTATCTCATTGAAACATGTACTAAAGGAACCTGTCTGCAAAGACCACCTGTCTAGAAAGACCACCTGTCTATAAAGACCACATGTTTTTTTTCCTGTGAAACATGTACTAAAGGAACCTGTCTACAAAGACCACCTGCCTACAGAGACCGCTTTTCTGTGTTTCTCTTGGGTGGACGCTATAGACAGGTTTGACTGTATAGCCTACATGTACATGAATACAGGTCCTGGGTTCATTTTAAAATATTTCTTCTCACCTTCAGATGCACCCATGGTCTCGCTCCTCCCTAACTCCTCTCTGAACCATCCGTCTCCCAAGATGCTACCCACACGTGGTGACCGAGCATTCACAACTGTTGCTCCCAAACTGGAATAACCTACCCAGATTTCTTCGCAATCAGCAATCTCTCAATACCTTTAAAAATATCTAAAAACTTGCCTATTCTTTTTTTGGGGCAAGGTTATTTGCTTTTTGGTGCTTGCGTAAGGTCAGGATTCTGGGATGTGCTGTTTACTTATCAACTTCTATTTTCTGGTGTAGTTGTCTTTGGCTGTTTCTTTGTCATTTCTATTTCTATTGACTGTTCCAAGTGGTGGGTTTATCCCTTGATACCATATTTGAACACTTTTTGAAAACTAGATTTCCAAAGAACTCTCAAATTCTCTCAGATCTTTACTATTATTCATGTTATGCTCGTCTTTGTAGTCTAGAGAGGAGAAGAATTTTGCCAACTTACTCAACTTCTGGAGAAAATGCAACCATCAGAGAAGCAATCCAGATTCCTTGCCTTAAAACAGATAATTACTTGACTGAAAAGCACTCCTGAATGATTCAAATTAATAACAAAAAAGTAATGACCTTTTTAACATAAATGCTAGTAGAGCTCAAACTCATCAAATCATTCAATTTGCAATATCACCAGATGGTGGACTAAATTTTGGTATGATAATGAGTTTGTACCCATCTGCTTATTTTCCTCTTTAGGTTAGCTATTGATTTGATAGTCATGAATGTCCACATTGACCCACATATAGATCTTCCAAAATATCGATGATCAGAAGTTACTATCATCCCATTGTTATACCGAAATCAAAATCTCATTCAATAGGTTAAATTGTGTTTTGTTTTAACGTAACTAACTTGAACATGAAGTTACTGGTTATTTTCTTTTTCTGTTTGTTTTCGGTATATGATTTATTTAGAGGTACGTCTATCATCCAAGAGACTCTTTCCAAAGATATTTTTCCAAATGTCCAAATGCTTTTAGATCAGACAATTATCTTTCGAGTGAGGTCATTATGCACCTAGGTCACAGAAGTCATTAAATCTAGTTGAGTTCCATAATGAAATAGGTGGACGGGAAACGCCGGACGAATCGAGATCTAAACATAGAGGCTCAATGACGTATGACGCGATATCTAGGTCTTACATGATGTAGGATGTTATATCCCAGGCTATATTAGGTTTTTATGATGTCTGCGGCGACTCTAAAGACTCTTAAGGTATTCATGATGTCAGGCTGTTGTTAGAAAGAGTCTTGTCGGTGCGGTAAAGGAGACAGTTTAATGCTGTTTGCTTTGTAGGGATTGTCTGATCCAAACTTGTCGCGTTAACTCTCTAAAAATACATCATGTCTGTGCAGCGTGCTTCACAAATAGAGATTTGAAAAATGAAATTTATATCTTATGTTTTCATTTCCTTCAGAGACAAATTTTCCTCCAATTCTGTCTCCCTTCCATCACTACCTGCTTTTTAGATATGGATGTGGATATATTTATCAAGAAATGTTGATACCTCAGAACAAATATGGATCTTATTATCATAGTCATATTTTTACCTGTATCTATTATGACACTTGTACAGTAAAGATAAAGTTGAGGTAAATAAAGAAAGTAAATCCTCACAAAATCCAACAAAACTTGCCCTAAATGTTCAAGATAACAAATAAATGACATGTGCCACACAATTCACTACTTGTATGTGTAAATGGGAGTTGTTTTTGTTTTAATCGAAGATGATGCCCAGTAAGTTTTTGTTTTTATTTCACTGGTTCAAACAACCAATCTACAGCAGGATAAACCATCCAGAATAAATCACAGCAATTTTCTCTGGAAGTACGATTCCCATACCAGAGCTCAATATTAGCTGTAGTTATGTAGAATCAAAATGTTTGAAAAAGTATTACACCTGTGAATATGGGAATGATTGGTAGTTTTTAAATTAAATTTACTAAAATGATAACTTTTTCAGGGAGAATTCAAATGTTTGAAAAAGGTTCATACTGTGTATGCAGAAATAGATAATCCCTCCCTCTCCTGTTCCTTCGCAACACTGACAAGCTAGAAAGCTTCAAGTCAGGCCTCTAAACCTTTTTCCAAATGTGTAGTCCATGACTATGGAGGAGCAGGTGCCTTTGAATGTTTGAAACAGATAAATGGCACCATACAAGTGCTGTGGATCATCATCATGATCATATACAGTTTTACCAAGTTATGGTACATCAGGAGGAAAATAGAAAATATTTGTTGAATAACTTATCAATTTTCTCGTCTCGTCTCTTCTCTTCCTCTCAGGTGGCGAAAGCATACGACCACCAGGAGCAAGAATATGTTGCAATAAAGATCATCAAGAACAAGAAACCGTTCCTCAACCAAGCCCAGATTGAGGTCCGACTCCTAGAGCTCATGAATAAACATGATGCCGACAGCAAGTATTATATAGGTACGTAGAGCTCATGAATAATCATGATGCCGACAGCAGGTATTATATAGGTACGTAAAGCTCATGAATATGCGTAGAGCTTATGAATAAACACGATGCCGACAGCAAGTATTATATAGGTACGTAGAGCTCATGAATAAACACGATGCCGACAACAAGTATGATATGGGTACGTAGAGCTCATGAATATGCTTGATACTGACAGCAAGTATTATATGGGTACGTAGAGCTCATGAATATGCATGATGTAGGTACGTAGAGCTCATGAATAAACATGCTGACAGCGAGTATTATGTACAGTTACAATTAACTGAACCCTTTGTTCATTTCAAAACGTCCTTTGTGTAAGAGACATGTCCATTCGTTCAATTTCCTTTGCAGTTAAACTGAAGCGGCACTTCATGTTCCGCAACCATCTCTGTCTGGTCTTCGAGCTGCTCTCCTACAACCTCTACGACCTCCTCCGCAACACCAACTTCCGGGGCGTGTCCCTCAATCTGACGCGCAAGTTCGCCCAGCAGATGTGCACCGCCCTCTTGTTCCTGGCGACGCCAGAACTCAACATCATCCACTGCGATCTGAAGCCAGAGAACATCTTACTGTGCAATCCCAAGAGAAGCGCTATCAAGATCATTGATTTTGGTAGCTCCTGTCAGCTCGGACAGAGGGTAGGTTTTTTATCATCCTTGTAGAGAAAGAGATTCAAATTAGCAATGCAAATTTTTTTTTTTTTTCAATTTCAATTCATATTTATTTCATTTCCAACAGAAAGATAAACATGTTAAGATCATTTATTTTGGTAGCTCCTGTCAGCTCGGACAGAGGGTAGGTTTTCATACATCTTTTCAGAGAAAGAGATGCAAATTGGCAACACTTATTGCTTTGTTATGTCAAGATCATTGACTTGTGATTAATCATATCTTATTTGTGATCAATCGCAACTATGTACATAAGAGATAGAAGACTGCAAACTTGCGATATATTCGGATCGATCTAAACTCTTGGTATCAAGATGTTGAGATTTTTCCATTTTTATAGGAAGTAAATTTTTCTCCATTCGTTTAGTCAGTTACTTGCCAGTTTCAAGATTTCCATCCTTCTTTGCTTTTGAGATACTGGATGGCAAATAGCATTTGTTTAACAAAACAGGCCATAACCAAACAAAAAAAGAATATTATGTACAATTATCATTTTGTCATCACCAAAATGTATCCATATTTTGTATCATATTTATGTTCTTAGTAAGCTGTGTCTGAGCCTTTGTTTTTCATGTTAGTGAAAAAACTATCCGTCTTAAACTTATATTGGACAAATGAATACATTGAATGAATGAATTAATTTTTGTTTCCTCTCCTCTTTTGCACAGATATACCAATACATCCAGAGCAGGTTTTACAGGTCGCCTGAAGTGTTACTAGGTATATCATACGACATGGCTATCGATATGTGGAGTTTGGGATGTATACTTGTAGAGATGCACACGGGCGAACCCCTCTTCAGTGGCTCTAATGAGGTAAGAGAAATAGATAGGTAGATTGATTGATTGATTGGATGATTCATTGATTGATTGACAATCTTAACAAAACATTGTCACTCTGTAATTTCATGACATGAAATCTTCCCCAGTCTGGTCTCAGCTCGAAATTCCTCAAAGTTGTATGCACTTGAAGGAAAACAGTTGTTATACAGCATATCAGTCAAAAGTCTTAAAATGTTCGGCAGCTACAATTAATAAATCTTTAGTCCTCAACAGTCCTTATAAGTTCAGTTTTCATTCAATTGTTTCTCATGCTATAACTTGCAAAAACAAGAGGCTTCCGAAAGGACAATCGAACAATAGAATCCGTTGTGCACGTAACACATACTGAACTATACAGTGTGCCTCAGTTTCACCATCAGTGCAAGTAAAAAGATTTTAAAGGTTAGTTTACACATATAAACCATGTTTTGTTTGTTTGTTGTTTTAGTTGGATCAGATGAACAAGATCATTGAAGTTTTAGGCATGCCACCCAACCACATCATAGAGCAGGCTCCGAAGGCTCACAAATACTTCATCAAGACGGAGAAAACCTGGGTACTCAAAAGGAGTCGGGATGGAAAGAAGGTAAGTCCGCAATTAATCAAGTTTCTTTAATCAAATTGGCAACTCCAGTGTTATCGTCTGCTTTTACTGTTTCGTTTTTTGTTGTTTAATGGTTGGTCATGTATGTGATCAGATTACACGTGAACAGGAAGTGTTGAAAAGCTAATTGCCAATTTGTATGGAAAAGCAGTAATGAACTCTTCATTATGCTGCCAAGTTAAGGATTTTTAAATTTGTGGTTTCCTTTTTAGAATTCAAGTGTCGAAGGTCACATGGTAATGCAACAGAAATAGACACAGTGTGCAGAATGTTCCCCCTTCCCTCCCTCTCCTATTCTCATTCTCATTCTCTGTCTGTCTCTCTCTCTCATTATCTCCCCCTCTCTCTCTCACTCTCTCTCTCTCTATCTTTCCCTGCTTGTGCTGAATCTAAAGGAGGGTTGCCTGCACACAATACATTTCATGCATTTCATCTAGGCCTTATGACACAAAGACTTCAAAAATTGATTGCATCTCTCCAAATCTAACTCCTGCAATCGGTCGCATATATCTCCACCAACAACAATAATAATAATAATAATAACAACAATAACAATAACATTAAAAGCAATATTATCTTACAGAAAGATACATTTCATTGTAAGATACAATTGATTGTGAGTCGGTTTTTATGTCACTGGGGTTTTTAATATTTTTTGTATTACGTGTCTGTAAAGTAGCACTGTTAGAACAGTTTTGTTGTCATCACAGTGCAGAAGAGTATATTTGTTTAGAAGCTGCGCTATATGAATTAATCTAGTTATTATTATTATTATTATTATTTTTCTTTACCCAGTACAAAAGTCCAGGAACCCGAAAGCTTCAGGATATCTTAGGCGTGGAGCTTGGCGGGCCGGGCGGTAGGAGAGCAGGTGAACCGGGTCATACCGTCTCAGATTATCTCAAATTCAAGGATCTCATACTAAGGTAGGTGTGGACGGCTTTACCAAGGAGCTTTTAGAGATGGAGACCCAACTGGCAACAAATTATTCCAAGCAGCTGCCGTTTTCTAAGGTTGCACAATAGAATCCACATGTGTGCTGTTAACTTTGATTTCCGACGTTCGAAGCCGCCAATATCATTGGAAAGCTTGAGTAGTGATTTTGTTCACATAGAAATATCCTTAATATTTCACTTCCTATTTGAACTAATGAGGGGAAAATCGAACAGATGTTAAGATATCAATACAAAAGCCTATTTCCCTTTGAAAGTGGCCCGTTAGTTTGCAGCTAGGCAGGAATCTGTTGTTTTTGTCAAGGGAGATCCAGTTAAGCACATGCCCGACATATTTTCTCTTAAAGCTATGTGTACACAAGCGTATGTATATATGTGACTGTCACAACTGTGTCTGGATAAGCTATGCACCTTACCAAGATTCATCCCGTAAAGAACATTCTTTTCTCTACGTATATGTGTCATATGAGTTATGATGAAAATTGTGGACAATTATTAGTAGATGAATGACTTAATAACCGTTCCTAGAAATGAAATAACTATTTCATAAATATTTTATCCTAATCCTTGTTCCTTCTTTTCTTAGGATGTTGGAGTATGATCCCGCCTCTAGGATAAAGCCCTACTATGCCCTCCAGCACTCCTTCTTCAAGAGAACAGCCGATGGCAGCACCAATACGTCCAATAGCACCTCGGCTAGTCCAGCCATGGACCAGGCCGGTAGTCCACCTGCAGAACACTCATCGGGTTCCAGCTCAGGTACGAAAGAAAAGATAAACTTCCTAAGTTTGGATAGATGGATAGATAGATCAGATAGATAGATAGATAGATATATTTTGTCTGGATTTCTCTTCTAGCAGTTGAGGCATCAGATTAAATCCATCATAAACTTTTTGGCGAACAAAAAAAGTTTAGATTAGGATTTTAGTTGTGTGTTTAACGCCAAAGGATGTTCATTTTTAGAGATGACACCATTGTGACTCTGTTTTATGACCAGAATTGTTATTTCAACATTTATTTCTACGAAATCATGATGATATGGGGAATTGAAGACTGATGCATTGTGTTTTGTTTGTATTACAGGAGGAGCTACAGGGGGCTCTAACAACGGTTCTGGAACCGGTGGACGGGCGCAGTCTGACCCCACCCATCAGAACAGCACTTCAAACCACGCCCTGGGACACCAACACCCCGGCAGCTCGGCGGGGGCAATGGACTACGAGTCGATGTCGTCGCACTCCAGTCTGACGTCGGGGATGTCGAGCGGGGACGTCGCGTTTGCGTCATCGTCAAGCAGTGCTCATGGACACTCGAGTTCGCATACGTACCCGCATCCCCACTCCCACAGTCGCAAGCACCACCACCATCACTCATCGCACGGACACAGCCTCCCATCGCCGGCGGCTCCAGCCAGTAACGTGAATTTATCTCAAACAGTGTTACAAGCTCCCATAGTGACAATGGGTATCCCAACTATACCAGTAACGATGGGGATGCCTCACGTGCATCAAGCCGGTATCGTGACGACGCCCGGTTACGTGTATTCCTCGCACAGTTCGCTGGAGAACACCCAAAGCAGCTCGTTAAGTAGTGGTTCGTTAAATATGCCCATGGGCGCTTATGCAATACCGACGCACCACCACCCGTCGTCGACCACGCAACAAACGCTTGTAAACAATCCCCATTTACATGGGACGACGACGGGGACGGGGGGTATCGCGTTGACGAGTAACGTGAGCGGGGCGACCAGCGTCCCGTACGCGTTTGCGTTACCGGTGCAGTCAGCCGTGAGTACGGGGCTTGTGAACTCTCAAACGACGAGACAAGCGGACGATTCACCGATGGTTGGTGTGTGTGTTCAACAGAGCCCAGTGGCATCACATTGACCTCAGCTGTCAAACTTATTCTCTATTCACCTAGCTGCTAGGTCCCTCCGCTAGTTAGTCGGCCGACCCTCGGTAGAACGCCCTTTAGTACCTCGTGCGGGTTTCGCAAATGAATGTCGCCCTCGGGCTTGTGGTGGTGGTGGATATATCTCGTCAAGCTCGCAATCGCTTCGGAATCGTCGTCAAACGGAATCATCGCACCGCGTGTGTAGAATGTAGCAAAAGGAAACCTCTGTAGAGTGGGAAAGATTTAGCAAAGGAATTCAGTAGGATCGCATCGCATCGTTTGTTTGGCTTTAGGAAGATTTGAAAGATTTGATCGTAGGTAGCAACAGGATTTCAATACATAGGGATGGCAGGCATCATCAACGAGAGTTTCGCATGGTCGTCGTGATTCTACAAACTATGGCTACAACGTACCTTCATCAGTGACAGATGCCCTTCTTGGGAGATGTCTTCTTCCGCTCTTCTCTCTTCAAAGACCACTCAACCCTTCACACCAGTATGTCTCTCCTAGAAACAGATCATTAGACTGTGGAACATATTACCCCCTTCACTCCTTAGTCCCAACAGAGCATCGTAAAACGCCAAAGGACCCTACCAGGCTGCTCGCCGAAAGAGTTGCCGCATCAAAGGCAAAATACCATCTGGTGGTCCCTTTTTTTAGCATATGGAAGTGATTGAATTTGGTAAAAACCAGAAGTCAACGAGTTACAGAAAACCAGCTCTCTAGATGTACATTTATCGAAAATATGATACTGTGTGAGTTGTATTGATGGTCAATATCTTGAAGGAAAAGACCCTGATCCTAAAAAGTTGGTCATTTTTTGTTGACAGGGCATGTGGTCTTCGAGCCTATCCTCAAGGTCTTTAGTGGAAACCTTGCCAGATTCATCCAGAAAGAGTTCCAACTCTGTCTTGCACATTTCTTACAATACTTGTATAAAGACACACCATATCCTGTATCTGAAATTATATTGCACCATCAAACTATTACCTCAACTGAAACAAGGTTGGACAACGTTTGACCATATTTTGAAAGGTTTACGTCAGATGATAAGTAAAAGCAACCCATATAAGAAAATGTACATTGCATCACCCTCAAAACTACTTATATTTACCTCAATCAGAAGCACATGTGGAAAAGAGTCATCTCGAATTCAATATTTTTGTAAGAGTTGTAAAATCAAAACAAACCATTTCCTGTAATGCTACAAAGACTTATTACCTCAATTTCAAACAAAATTTGAAGACTTGCTGTACTATGACACGTTAGCAAAAGTCGGTATCTGAAAACATTGAATTGTCTTCATAGCGATTTCATCAAAATGGTGTGTATTCAACAAAACAAAGAAATATCACGGCCTTTCATTTCACCTACAGATTTCAATTTATCAAAAACTTCCTCAGAAATATTGGCCATATGCTTGGAGAAAAGTGAGCAAGAATATTTTTGACCAAGTTTGATGTAATTTCTTCTAGTAAATATGAAAACGACATCAAGTTTAGTCCTGACCACCTCATAGGGGAAAAAAAGGTACAGAACGAAGTTGGATAAAGTTAAGACAGAACAAGTCTTGTCGTAAGAAGCATTGCTTTGCAGCTGAATTTAAATGTTTTTTGTACAAAAATCGAGCTATATCTCACCCTCTCTTTTCTCCTACTATTTTTCTTGAAAATCAGTATTGAATGGATTTTAATGAATATTCCCAATTATCCATGTAATAATTGTAATTTTTTGTATGGATCTCCTATTGGTTAGGACGTCAGTCTATGGAGCATGTTGGAAGTATTCAGGGGTTTATCATACTAAAATGGTGTTTAAGGAACATAAAATGGGGAACTTTCTGTTATATAATGATTGGCTACTTTCAATATGTGGACAGATATAATATAAGGCTGCATAAGATATGAGAATAACAAAAGTCCAAAGTTTAAATGATTTGACAACTCCTTTCCACTTAAAGCTTTAAAAGTGATAGCAAATCAAAAGCTACGAGATCCACGTGCCGAGGGCATTTAAAAAATGGTGGGGCAAGTTCATTGCACTGTCAAATCTCTTTTTAATCAAAGGGCAAACGCCCATGAGCTCATTCACTGATTGTATCACCCCCTTTTACTCTGTAAAAACAATATCTTGGTTTGTTTGGGGTTTTTAACAGCAACTTTGTTTTTACACAAAGCTCTTTATAAGAGATGCGTACTGTCATGATTAAGGTTTTTAATTTGGTTAAGAAACATCATTTTCCCTTCCAGCCCTTCCCGATTACAGACTGTGAGCCACTGTTTTTAAACAAAAATCATTAAACACATCGTTAAAAGTTCTGAAATGTTAAGTATGGGTTTTTAATTGTTCCAGTAGGGGAGGTTGGAAGAAAATTCTTGCCAGTTTTTTAATCCCTAGATCCATTTTTAAGGTGTGAAAATTACTGGACTTCTGAAACAAAAATGAATCTACCTCCATATAACCCCATATATTGATTCTCCTGTATTGCACAGAAACATTGTCCACGACTTAAATGTTAATCACAATTCTACTCCTTTTTATCTGGTAGTCATGTTTTATCAGTGAAGTTGTCGACAATTCCAATGTTATTTTTACAAGGTGATAGTGTTAAGGATGTAGCAAGTTACAAACGTGAGATGAGAATTCTCTTTTCCTTATCAAATTTTTTAAATGGTAATGATGAAAGTAAGAAAGCCATTTTTAACGGAATGCTTTTCACAGAAGAAGTTTGTACAGAGTTTTGAGAAGGAAAAGACTGTATTTTTGGAGAGTTGATATTCTGTATGTATATTTCAACTGGAACATGTGATAATTGACACACAACGTGCAGGGACAGAATCTTTTCCACACCCCTCCCTGTTTAATACACTCGATCACTACCATACAGCTGAATAAATGTTTTTACTAGCCGCACATCGTTTTGAAACCTAATGTGTCGGTGATTTCCTTAGTCTATTCAGGTTTATCTCCCTTTCCCCGTCTCTCTCTCTCTCTCCCTCTCTTTCTCTTGAAGTAGATGTAGATATCTAGGTTTGTATGGTTTAGATAAATTTTATGCGATTTACCTCGAATTTGAGATGTGCATTTTTCTCCCAGCCCACCCCCTTCTCTGTCATTATTTATATTTTCATCCCTACTGCTTTTTTCTTTTGCCTTCTTCTCATCTTGCACCAGTTTACCTATTCTCTCCTTCCCACTTATTACTATTTATTGCTTCTTTTATATCTCTTTCTTTATCACTCTTTCATCTCTCGTTCTTTAGCCCATTTGTTATTTTAATCTCAGACTCTTCATTTTTTCCTCTTTTCCCCTCTTTTCCCCTCTCCATCCCTCTTTTCCCCTCACTTGCAAACTCTTGCGTTTTTCTCCCTTATCTCTCCTCCATCTCTCTCATATTCTCTCTTAATTCCATCATCTTCCATCTCTTATTTATCTCTCTTCTTCTATCTTTCTCTCTTTTCTCTTTTAATATGTTCTCCTTCCTCTGCACCATCCCTTCTCTCTCTCTCTCTTTCTCTCAATGCCATCTCTCTCCCCCTTCTCTCTCCATCTATCTCCATTTTTCTCTCTCTCTCTATCTTCCCTCCCCCCATTCTCTCTCTCTCTCTCTCTCTCTCCCCCTTCTCTCTCTCTCTCTCCCCCTCTCTCTTCATCTCTCCCCCTTCTCTCTCTCTCTCTCTCCATCTCTCTCTCCATCTCTACCCCCTTCCCTCTCTCTCTCCTGCTTTCTACCTTTGCATTGAACTCATATGTACAGTATAAAGAGAAAAGAATTGTAAAGACTCAAAAGAAAGATTTACCAAGATGAATGGAAATTGTACAGAGCAGCATACTCGTTGCACTTATTTTTGAATCATGTATATAGTAAATTATGAGGTCGGGTACGACATACAAACAAAAAAAAAGTTGAAAATGTTATTATGAATATTATGACTGGCAGATGGTTTCCAAGATTTTGAACAGATATATTTATTATTTCTGTCTTTTTGTTTTTTTTATTGTCAGATTTCTTCACGCTATTGGATATTATATGGGTTACTCTGTCAAATGTTCTTGTAAGAATTTTAGGTTTTTTTCCCCCAGTTGTCTTGAAATGTTTGAATACCAATTCTTTTTGCTTTTGTTGAAATTATGATTCTATAATTTTGGTTTCATGAATGTAGAATTTTTATGCATGGATTCTTTTTTAAATGTTTGTTAACTACTGATTTGCATCATGAATTTTTAATTTGTTTTCACTTTTTATCTTTTATCTTTGTAATTTCTAATGCAATTTACCCGTGCTTCAAGGTCTATCAAAATACATGTTCATATTACAGAGCTCAAACGGCATAACTTACATTAAAAAAAAACTAACTGGTTGTGGAACTGCTCACCTCTATATTTATCACCATTTTATATTTGACAGTGACAGAGGGGAGTTACAAATGAACAATTTGTTTGTGATGTCCGTGCTCATCACAGAAAAAATGGATTTTTCATTGTAAGGAAACAATTTTTGTTTCATACAAATCTCATTTTGTGTCGTCTGCATTATAAAATGCCAAGCAAAATATGCCTAGTTTGCTGTTAAATCGTCTCTTTTGCGCCAGAAGGAAGTTCCCATATACAGAGTGAACTTAATCTTGGCTTTAAAGACACAAAATGCTCTTAACACGTTTGGTCAATTTAATTTAATCAGCATCACTTTGTTTAATGCTAGCAAGAAAAAAAAAAACCCAAAAAGCTTATTGTTAATATTGTTATTTTAGCTGTGAATGGTTTACAAATTTGATAGGTAAATTACATGTTATGAACAAAACATTTTAATAATAAAGTACACAGAAAAAAGGGGGATTCCCCATTTACAGAGTCTAATAAAAAATAGACCTTGAAGCACGTTATACATCATTATGTCAGAACCTTTCTGGTAAAGCGTCAAGACCCCATTTTTCGTGGTAAAATATTATTTCAAGTTTTGTTTTTCTTTCCGTTTCTGTACCTTTTAGTAGCGTTTACCACTGCCCATTGTTCACAACGCATGTATTTAACAAACACACATACATGTACACACACCTCGTAGCTGTAGCGATGTAAAAACACTGGATTATTTATACACGTTTTTCTCTTTTCAGTATCTTTATGTAAGAACACCAGTCGAGAAACCATTGAATATGAATAGGTACTGTAGGTAATTGTTCAGGTGCGAGCTGATTTCCGTTTCAAATGACGTTTTTGGCTGGAGAGATAAACATGGGCATATTCAGTCTTGCTTTATTTCTGAAAATTTAAACCGTAATTGTTGAACAGTGTCTGATCATAAATATAAGAATATTTAAGGTTAATAGTTGCCTCTTCAAAATGTTTACTTGGTTCACAATTCAATTGTTCATTAAGGTGATTTTAACAATACAGCTACCAATGTGAATGGAGACAAGGGTTTAAAACTCATTCAGTTAACAATTAACGCTTGTTTAGACATAATGCAGAAAAAACGTAGCATTAAAAAAAAAAACTTTCTTTCATGATGATGTAAAATGGGAAATGTGACACGCTTATAACACAGAGCTCAGTAAATAAGCACGAGTCCTTTGTTGTGCGCAGTTGCAATTGATTTACACTTTAAAAAAAAAAAAATTGCGACAACTACTTTTGCGGCAGTTTACCGTGCCATAACTGTACAAGCCGTGAAGCTCATTAGTATCGTTCAGCAATTGGATGATTAAAAAAACGTCATTTGAAATGTAACTTCAGCATTTTGTGAATGGATAAATTGATTGTAATAAGAATAAAGAGGATTTTTTTTTTCCTTCATCATCCTAAGCCATGAAGCTCATTCGTATCGTTCTGCTATTGGATGATAAAAAACGTCATTTGAAACGTAACTTCAGCATTTTGTGAATGGATAAATTGATTGTGATAAGAATAAGGAGGAGTTCTTTTTTTCATCATCCTAAAAGCTGCGCAATAACCTATGATGTAGTGACCGTCTGCAGTAGTGTATTTATAGTCTCTGTATGTAGACTGGTGACCATTTCTCTCAAGTAGTAATATATTAGGCTGTACTCCCATTGCCATTGGAATTGTGACTTTTTACCAGACTGGGCATTATCCACGTGAGAGGTTTTAATGAAGCAAGAAGTTCTCTCTCGTGTTAACGCTCTCTATCTGCCAACTATTTGTATGTGTATCCCTAAAGGACAATTCGAAGCGTTACGGTGTAACGTTTCCAAAGAATTTTCAATTTTAAATAAAGAATATTATAGAGATAATACCAATATTCAGATTAATGATATGCTGTTTTAACTAATATGAGCTGCTTTCTTAAAATTTGGGTTTCTTATCAAACATTCATTGAATTGATTTGTTAACAAATGACAATTGGAGATATTTTTTGGCCATTCTGTAACAAAGCTTTTTACAAATTCAATATTTGGTGAATGGTTGATAGGGGACTCAAATCCAGTGAAAATACTTTATATACCATGTTATTAATTTGTAGATTTTTATTAAAATGTCTAAAATATTCCTTATTCAAAATTGAAAATTCTCTGGATGTGTCATTCTGTAACACTTTGAAATTACCCGAGCATACAGTGCATGCACATCGTACCCACTGGCCTGTTTTTAGTGTACGCAATTTGATTGTGTGTACGTAGCTGTGTGAGCCCGCTCTGTTCCCACTGCACAGTCTGCACATTGAGCACAATTGGGGCCGCGCACCGCATTGGGCACCCACAGTTTTGTGTCACAAATGAATTATACAATGCAATCTTTACACTGTATCTTGAACCCGTTTTATGAACTCCAATGTAGATATGTTCTTTTTATTTTTTTTTCCTTCTCTTTTTTAAAATGAAGATAATAGCAATGTAATCTTGGATAAGTAATATAGGAAATGGCAACATGTTTTAATGAGAATTTTTTGGAGCTCTCCGAGACACATCTGTTTTCCTGTAAATAGCCATCTATTATCAATGTGCTCAATGAATTAAACCATTTCTGCCATCAAAAAAAAAAATTGTGTGAAGGAAATACTTTATTGATTTGTTTATGTGGTAATGTTACAGGTAATGGTGATGGTTGTGATGGTGGTGGTGGTGATGATGACGATGATAATGATCGTGTTTATGATGATCATGATGATGATAAGATGATGATAATGGTGATGATCGTGTTGATGATGACAGTGGTGATGACGATCATGATCATGATCATGGTGATGGTGATGATGACAGTGGTGATGAAGATGGTGATGATGACATTGGTGATGATCGTGGTGATGGTGATGATGATAGGATGATGATGATAATGGTGATGATAATGGTGATGATGACGATCATGATGATGGTGATGATGATGGTGGTGGTGGTGATCATGGTGATGATGGTGATGGTTGTGTTGATGATAAGATGGTGGTGATGATGATGATGATGACAGTGGTGGTGATGATGATGATGACAGTGGTTGTGATGATGATGATGATGGTGGTGATGATGATGGTGGTAGTGATGATGATGACAGTGGTGGTGATGATGATGGTGGTGGTGATGATGGTGGTGATGATGATGGTGGTAGTGATGATGATGATGACAGTGGTGATGATGATGGTGGTGGTGGTGATGATGGTGATGATAATGATGATGATAAAGACAATGGTGATGATGATGAGGGCGATGGGAGAAAGAGAGAGAGAGAGAGAGACGAACACACATACAGTGTTGTACACACAGGCAAGCAGAACTTGCACCAAACTATAATGTATTTGGCACAAGAGGGCGGCATAGTGCTACTTCAAACTGATTGCGAAAGGCAAAACACATGTACGGGTATTTTACTTTTCATGATGATAATGATGAGGGCGATGGGAGAGAGAGAGAGAGAGAGAGAGAGAGAGAGAGGGGGGTGGGTGGGGGAGAGAGAAACACATACAC